TGACCATAAACCCCATCCCTGTCCCCCTTGTGCCGCTGGGGGGGCTTGGTGGAGAAATCCGGGAGTGAAGTTGTGCCCGGGAAGAAGGGAGGGGTGGAGGGAAGGTGTTCTGAGATTTCGTTTTATTTCTCATTTACCTTACTCTGGTTGATTTGTAATAAATTGAGCTAATTTTCCCTAAGCTGAGTCTGTTTTGCCCGTGACGGTAATTAGTGAATGATCTCTCCTGTCCTTATCTCAACCCACAAGCTTTTTGTTATATTTTTCTCTCCCCTGTCCAGCTGGGGATGGGGGAGTGATAGAACGGCTTTGGTGGGCACCTGGCGTCCAGCCAGGGTCAACCCATCACAATTTATTATTAATGTGTTTAAATATTATTCAGACACAAATCAGAGATATTCCTGAGAAAAAAATAAGGCAGTCTAGAAATATTTCATTTGCTGCTAATTTCATAAGAAGTATTTTGCTGATAAGAAACAATAGGATGTGGATATCTCAAGGCCCTCCTGCAAATTACAGCAATGGTAAATAACTAAGCAATTTACCAAATTACTAGAAAAATAAATACATAAATGACCAATTTAGGCATCAGAAGAAAAATTTGTCTCATTCTCCTGTGTTTTTCTTCAAAACGCACTGGAGAATAACCTATCATAGTGATAAAGCAGATCAGACCAAGGTTTCATGTCCTAATAACCTAAAAGTACATAACACAGATTAACACTCCCACCAGCTCCCACAGAAATGTGTGTGATAAGTCAGTGTTTCATCTTTTATTTCCAGTTTCAGAGCATTTATATGAACGCACATGTATGGCCCTTCCAATTCTGTAAAGGTGGGAAGCATTCAATAATGTTCAATAGTTCTTGTGGCTGACAACGGGGTGCAGCAATTAGACCTTACAGTTCTCTCCAAGAGAAGACACGAAGCAGACTTGTCTGTCAGGGAAGGAGATCAGCTTCTTACCGGGGCAAAGTAAGTTCAAGGGTAAGTTACTGGAGAATCCTCAGCTGTCCTCAGACTGGAGGCTTTCTCCTCATCTAAGCACCACCCACATTAGATAGCTCTTTTGCAGTTCTCAGAAAGATATCATAGGTTTTCTGAGATTCGACTGGGTTTAGATTTTTTAAAATATTTCCACATAAGCATTTTTGCTGTCACCATTGTATACTTAATTGCATACATTGGGTTGACTGCATTTTCAGTTTCCAAGAGTTTGCTGTCACCTATGGGTGAAATTTGCTTTAGTTTCTGCAGAAAGATGGGAAAAAATGCTGTACGAATGGAGTCATCTGTCAGTTCCTTCCTCCTGGTGATTTTTCAAGATGGATATACAAAAGTATATCCTGAAGAATAAAAAAAGACTATTCAGGTGCTAAGCTCTATTACCAAAAACTTGTCAAATGTACAACTCTTCATTCCAGCAGACTATCAAGTGGAAGTTATACAGTAACATAAAGCCTAGAAAGCACACTCATGTAAACTCTGAGACATGTAAATATTCAAAAGTTGAGATTTGGGGAGGCTTAGGAAAGAATGGATTTTGCTTTAATTTTCTATTCAGATAAAGCAAACCCCAAACTAATAATACATTTGTATAGGCATTTTCAAAAGCTTACAAATAGAGAAATTAAGAGATGCAGGTTATAAACTGTGACACTCTTTGAACCACAGTTCCACCTAATACATATTTGGAGGGCACTATATTAGGTAAAATTCCATTATTATTCTTCTGGAAAATAGTATGGATCCAAACCCTTTTGAAGCCTGGCAGGATGATGAGTATCATTTCAGGATGAATCTCAGAGTGTATCCATAAACAAAAGCTCAGGTACAGAATTAAAAGAGCTCAGAAATAAATTAACACAGAGATTTACCCCTAGGAAAGCTGAGAGATTTGGTGGACTTCTGAATCTAAAGACACTTCAGAAGATTAAGTGAGAAATTATCTGTATTCATCTGATCCTTCTCGTGCTTGAGAAAGTGCATACCTTTGTGCATTCTCTAGTAAGCAAAGACAGTTATACTGAAAGAACCCTGATTCATTACGAGTTTCTCTTTCAAACATGAATTGCCTATAAGATCACAAATAAGGGTTGGCTGCATCAGCCTGACTGGGTAGAGTTTTAGTTTTACAAGCAAGGAACAGAAGCAGAAGGAAATGGTGGGCCAGAAGTTACTTCAGTAGCAAGAGAGACTGAATTCAGGTACAAGACTCAGCATAATGTTGTTGTTGTCCTCATCAAAGACACTGAAGTAGTCAATACCTCTTGTGGATCTTATTATGGTACCTACATTTTCCTCTCTATTTCATCTCTCTTTTTCAAAATCCATCTCCCAGCACTGATAAACTCTTGCCTGGACCACTGTTCAGCTGCACAGTACTCATTCCTTTGACAAAAACCATCACTAAAATTCTTTCCATCCTGCACATCTCATAACGGCTCTTCTTCTCTCATCTTTCATTCTCTCTCCAACTTGCCTCTTATCTGCATTTCTCCTCCCACTCTCTTGCACATAAATACCTCTTCACATGCTCCCATCCTCTCTGGCCCTTCTCATTCTGTCAAAGCCACATGTCAAAGTAACCTCTTATTTTCTTCCCACTCTTATTTTCTTTCATCCCACAACTGGATCCCCACATTTTAATGATTCAGTCAGTTTTAGCACACTGTAAAATGCACTTATTATAAAAGTTTCTTGCCTTATTTCCTGGAAAGGTTTCTTTCTTTAAAAAAACAAGCAACAGCCATTAAGACAAAAAAGGCGGAAGAGGCGAGGAAGATACAAAGATTTTAGTCCATCAGTTTGCATGCTAGAGCTCCCAACTAAAAACCTTACAATCTCTTTGTGGAAGCGGCATCTTCACCATCAACATCATCTTTATTTTTGTCTGAAGAATGCCCAGCGGTCCTGACTTAATGAAACAGCAAAGGATGGTGCTTCCCTTTTACAAAGGGACAGTTATCTCAATACAAACTGCTACTGAAAACAATGCAGCCCAAATCTCACTCTTTACAATGCACGACTCGGTCTTAGAGCTCAACAATACAGGATATCACTAGGCTGAGAGCTGAAGAGATTTCAAAAAAGGGAATGGTTATGTACAGAATTTTATATAAGTAATGAAAACACCCCAAACTGCAACAATGGAGGCTCTTAAAAATAACATCAACATTGTAGGTCTGGTGATAGCAACATCATAGGGTCATGCTATAGGGTCAGTTCAGAATGGGCAAAGATCAGGAAAAACTTCTATAGTGATTTCGTTTCATAATTATCTGTAGAAAATTTGTTGTCTTATTGCCTGCTGTGTGGTAAACACAATATGCTGAATGCTGGTTCTGTATGATAGTTTCCATACTATTAATTCAGGAGTTAATTTTAAGGTAAGAAATGCAAGCAACCCAAATCATTTATGCCACAAGTCTTTGTGCTTGATATTAATTAAAAATATACATTTCCAGAGCTATAATGCAAACTGGATTTAGACAACCTAGA